ACCTATGGAAAGGTCCAATTTACAAATAATTAATATCAATACTAGTAAGATGTTTTTGTAAATGAGGTATAGTTTGCATATAACGCATCTTAATCTTTCAATGTACAATTTTCATTTTTTATAATTTTTAACATTTTAGTTAAGTTTCTTTAAGATTTGCTTTTCTGCCTGGTATAATTCATCTACATAAAAAAAATTCATTTGATATTTTTATTGTACAATTCAAATGATAATTTATTTTCACATATATTTGGACCTAAAAAACCTGAGAAACAGATGGAAAAGATGTAGTATTTTTATACAATGGAGTACTACTCAGCTATAAAGAATGATAAACTTGAAGCCTTTAGATATAAGTGGATGCGACTTGAAGATATACTCATAAGTGAAATAAACCAAACCCACATGTGTAAATATAATATAGTCTCTCTAGTATAAGAACTCAAAGGAAGAAATAAAAATAGGCATAACACAATTAAAAGGAAAGTGAGAACTTGAGGATTAGTTAATGAAGAGAGGGCAAGGAGAAAAGCTAGAAAACATGACAGGGGCAAAGTCATACATTTATATGCACAAAATGGGAAAGGCAATGGTCCTGAGAATCTTCAGCATGTTTTTGAAAATAGCAGTTAATTGGTAGGTCTCTCACCTATACATGCTGATACCTGTGAACAAAGCAACTGCACTGAAGAAAGCAATGGGTAATGGGAGGGTCATGCTTGGAATGCCTGTCATTCTGGACTTCTAATTACATACTGCTTGTCATGACATTTCAATTACAGCCATACTGTCTCTCAAGTAAAGGCTTGGTTTTTTTTTTTTAAAGAAGGGTAATAAATGAAAACATGAGACAAAAAAAAAGCCACAGGACTGTCCTGCTACAAGGCTATATATTGTTAGATTTCTAAACTTCTGTGTAAAAAATTAATTTTCTCTTTATTTTTTTATTTTTTCACCTGGTATAAAGTCCTATTTATAAGGTCCTAATTTTTAAAAAGTTTTCATTTGTTTAGCCTTTTAAAGATATTCTAGGATTTGCAAAATTTCTGATGAAAAACCCATTGAGTTCTTATCTTCATCCATCTGTGTTGTCTCATTTTTTCCTCTGTCTTAATGATATTTCCTGGCAGTCAGGTAATTATGTGATAATATACAAAGCTTTTTTAAACTTTGATTGTTTTTGTTTACTTGGGTATTTTCAGAAAACTTCTTGAATCTGGTTTGATTCCTGTCATTATTTTTGGAAAAGTCTTAGTTATCTGTCAAACTGTTTTATCTACTTTTTGTTGTTTCTTCTGTAGTCGTTTGATTTTGTCTCACAGCTCTTGAGAAGTCTTGTACTAGCTCTCTCTGTCTATGTGTCTTTGCATCCATTTCTGTCTGCCTGTCTCTGTCTCTCCCTCTGTATCCCTCTGCTCTGTCTCTGTCTCTGTCTCTGTCTCTCTGCTTCTGTCTCTGTCTCCTGTCTC